GTGACGAGATGACGAGGCTGTCTATGTCGGCGTAGTATTCCATGATCGACCGCGCCTCGTCCTTGCTCAAGCCGCCGACCCTGATGACATCAAGGCCCTCGCCAGGGCCGGTGAGATCCTTTAATGCCTCCATCACGCGCGCGTCAACTTTCTTGTAAGGGTTCCATTGTGGGATGTTGTCGGGCGTCTGCTGTCGAGCTTCCGCGACTTCGATGCAGAAGTCGAGGGCTGGCGAAGTTGGCGAGTTAGATTTGGAGGTTGCGCCGAGGACGATGCCACCGTTGGGGAGGGGCTTTGCGCCGGAGAGGTGGTCGACAAAGTGACGGATTAGAGTGAGATCGTGGGCATGGATAGGCTTGACTTCTGCAGACATATACTCGGAGTTGCGCATTATGTGGGATAATCCATCAAGGGTGAGCAGAACAGGGGGCCGTCCGGTTTGAGAAAGTTCGTTCCATAGAGCAACGAAAACTGGCCATGACGCCTCCGGCGCATTCACTCCAATAATAACGAGATCTTTCAGCGATGCGTTTGCAGCTAGTGGGAGGGGCAAATTGGGTTGTGTGCTAAGTTTCGTGGACTCGAGAAACTTGCTGTTGGAGTCAAGCATCTTCTGCAGAAGTGCAGAGGTGTAATCGTCCTGTGTATATTGCATCGGCTCTGACTTTTCAAGGGGCGCGTACGCAGTGTGGGCATTGACGATATCCTGGGCTGGGGAATTGTCAGCATGTATGTGTGCATATTTGCAATGGATTGCTCTTCACCTTCTGGTAGACTGATAACGAACCAGTCCCTCAAAAAGCCCATGGCTAAGCTCTGGAGCAGTAACGTGCTCTTCCCACTCATGCGTTCGCCAGACAGTATCCTCCGTATTGTCTTCTTCCGCGCATCAGTAGAAGAAGCCTCCACTTCCTTGAACAATCTTGCAATTTGGATGGCTTCTTTGCGGATGAGTACTGCTGGTCTTCGGAACAAGCTCCATCCTTGGCTCGGCCTGAATGCATCGACAGTCCGCAGCTTGTCCACGGCCTGTTCAGCCGGCAGGCCCATGACCCGTCCCTCATTTTCCTCGCTCAGGACATTCTCCTTGTTCAGATCCTTGAGCGATGTAACCTCCAATGCGTTGTTATTGCTCAAGACGATACGCTTGCGCAACGCCTTCCTCTCGCCCTGGGCAGGCCGCTTGCCAGTGTCTGCTGCAGTCTTCTTCTTGCCCACACGAAGCGTCTTTACACCCTTTTTAGGCGCAGCAGACTGCTGCTTCTTCTTCATCACAACGGCATGGCGCACGGCGGACGTGCTGAAAAAGGCGACTTGGGGCCGTACGAGCCGTGGGGCGTGTGTAGTAGAGGCATCCAGTGACAGCCGTGCGAAGCTCTGCAGACATGTTGGCGGCGGCATGATGGGGCAATGAGGCTCCAAGCCTCTGTAATTGGCGCACTGATGAGGGATAGGGTCCTGTACTGCTATTCATTCACTCCGCGATGCATCGAAAAGCTCGGAGGTCCGCCGACTAACTTAGCGCGAAGTCTTGGCTTGAGCCCTGCCAAAAATTATTCTGCCCATGGCGAACTCTGCGAAATCCTGCAAGAAAGGAAGGAACGAATTAATTCGAGCCAACCCACGCAACATGTCAGACACGGAAATGGACGGTGGCGTCGCGATACAGGCTACCTCACCCACACACTCCCATCTCGCCGATAAGATCAACGGTGGTGCAATGGACGTCACATACGCAAACGGAGCTGCCTCCATCGCAGACTCGACTGCGACAAGCAGACTGTACGTGTCAAGCACTCTTTGTCACTCACAACAATCATCACGCATAAACTAACGGCCAGACCCCACAGTCCTATCACCGTGAATAAGCCTACACCCTTCACCTTCGATCTCGGCAACCTTCTTGCCAACGACCCAAATCCTGTGCCCGCCAATGCCAATGAAGAAGTTCTTACTGCCACCGCCCGCGATGCCGCCCAGGCGCTCATCAACCAGTTGCTCTCCACGTGCGAAATCAAATCCACAACCGAGGGCGTCCATCTCGTTCTCCCCGCCCCAACCACAGCTCTGCCCCGCGAGAAGCCCATACCTGCAGCCAAGGAGCCGACCAAATGGGAGCGCTTTGCAGCCAAGAAGGGTATCAAGGACAAGAAGCGCGACGGCAAGCTGGTTTACGACGAAGAAAAGGGCGAGTGGGTACCCAAGTGGGGCTACAAGGGCAAGAACAAGGACGGCGACAACCAGTGGCTTGTTGAGGTTGACGAGAAGAAGGAGGCAGCGACCGGTGAGGCCCACAATCAGCGTGCGGATGGCAGGAGGGAGCGCAAAGAAAGGGTCAGGAGGAATGAGAGGAAACAGCGTGCAAATGAGAGCAAGTCTCGAAAGACTGCTGCATGAGATGGAGTGCCTAAGGGTTTGAGAAAATGACGAGTGTCGATACGGAGACTCGCCCATGATTGCATTGGGATGGCGTTTTACCTTTCGTCGGACATGATCAGTTTGATGGCGCTTTGGGGGCAAAAGCATGGCTGCACATATTCCTTTCTTCTTTCTTCTACGACCTACCGTGGATGACATGTAGCGAGATCCAGTCCAACTACCGCAATATGAACTGAAGCTGTTCTATTCCCCCTATTCTACTTCATCTCCCAGCGTAAAATCACCATCTTCATTAACTTATCTCTCTCCATCATTTCGCTCTCACCAGCTCTAGCGGTACATTCAGTCCAACACACCCTCCCAGCGCTCCAATCCACAGAAGCACATACTCTTGCGGCGTAACGTTCCCTTTCCCCATAGCCCCCTTCAACACCTCCTGCATCACCCCTGCCGTCTGACACGGGTGAATGAAAAACACCGGTCTCCCTGTAACAGGATGATCGGTGATGCTAACGCCGCCCATGACGCCCACACTGTCGGTCTGGCTCCGGTACGCTGGCGGAATGAGGTGGGCGTGCAGGGTTGGTATTGTGGGGGGGTAGCGGTGCAGAGGGTCTGTAATGTGGATGTAGAGGGTTGGAACGAGGTAGGTTGGGGAGAGGATGATGTCGTAGGAGATTATGGGTTGGGGTGGTGATGGCGGCAGGGCTTCCTGGGGTGGGTCAGTGGGGGCAGGGGTGGAGGGTGGATGAATTGTACATTGTCGGCCTCCTCTAGTTGATCGATTTCATCGTCATCGTCGTCAATGTTGGGAGTGGCGGGCTCGGTCTTCAGCGCCTTGGTGATTCTCAAGTATTGGGTATCATCTTGATGGATGGTATCGACGGATGTCCAGATCTCTTGCTTGTGGCCTTTTGACTTGAATGCTGCTTGTAATTGTTCACACGCTTCGTTGAATTCAGCTGCAGTCAGATGTGGTAAGCTAGGGAGCATGGCTTGCCACTATGGAATCGCTAGACGAGTGTTGAAGGAAACTGGCCCCGAATCCCCGAATCCAGCTCGATAGCACGGCCCACACAGTTACTACCGGTGTGTACTTACTCTAGGAGTAGGTACATACATACCATAGTACACACCGGCACTTGTACAATACCGCTAAGCCTGCGATGGATTGGTATTGGCAAATGGCCATCCAGAGCTTCCAGCTTCCCCGGTCTTGACCCCCTCCCCAGTTAGTCCCCTTACATCCATACTAGTTATCTCGGCTAGTTTGAGGATCACGTTACTTGTCTTGTGTCATCAAAATAGCCAGGATGTAGCAGTGGCAAATCACATGATACTCAAACTACCCGAGCGCATGAGTAGTCGCCTAGACCCACAAGGCACCTTCACCTGGAGCGGATTAGCGCCTTGGACCCATGATGCGCTACCCATCCAGGCCCATACCGCTCTGCGACACCATGCCGCCGCCAACTTATCGACGACTGCGACTGCCTTGAGACGTCACCGCGCTGGTCCTCGTCCGCCTCGACTGCATCGCCCTGCCATCGCTATTATGCCCGCGTCAACAGAGAAGAGTCAACTGAAGCGAGGCCGTGTAGGTTGGATGCCAAGTTGTGGCTGCGTATGTGCTAATCCGTCTAATGGCTGTAGTACTCACAAGGCGAGGAAGCTGATCCAAAGAGGACCCGTCATTCGCGCCTGTCGCCGACGCCAGGCAGCCGCATTAAGCAGGGACAACTGCCTTCTCCGATTACGAATAAGAAATCCACATCGGAGGACTACAAGGAGCGCACCGCCACGCCTCCTCCAAGCAGCAGACCCAGCCAGGCCGTTCGTAGCCCGCGTGGTCCAGGAGGCTTGTCGTCACCTCCCTCCGATACACAGCCATTCTCGCAATTCGCATATCCAACGCAAAATCGCACATATGCCGTGGCCGACGAAGAGGGTGAAGAGGTGTGGGGCTACTTGGTACCCATGGATGGGTATAAGGGTGACGTAATGGTGCTGCGCCGCCGAGAGGGCTGTCCTGTGCCTCAATCGATTGTTGGCCAATTCAAGTCTGGCGAGCAGTCCAAGGACGAGTACAAAGGTCAAGAAGACAAGTACGAGAAGGAAAAGGCAGAAAAGGGCGTCCCTGCCGGCGGATACCTCATTGGCCGTCATCGGGAGTGTGGTGAGTTTGCAGACCGTCATGGCTCGAATGTCTCCATGTCCGCTTCATGTCTGATTAGTGTGTAGATCGCATCATCGAGTCCCCCGCCGTATCAAACCGACACTGCCTCCTCTTCGCCGAGAAGAAGGGTGGAGAGACAGTCGCGGTACTCGAAGACCTATCGGCTAACGGAACATTCGTCAACGAAGCCTTCGTTGGGCGAAATAAGCGACGTGAATTGCACGAAGGTGACGAGATTGCCATCCTTGACGAGGCGAGATATGTCTTCAAGTACCCGAAGAAGCGCACAACACATCGATTCACGCAACAATACACTATACAAGAGCAATTGGGCAAGGGTCACTTTGCTTCCGTCTACCTCTGTGTAGAGAAGAACTCTGGCATTCGATATGCAGTTAAGAAGTTCGAGAAGCGTTCCGGCCCTGGTGAGAAATCAAAGGTCGATGGTCTACAACAAGAGATTGCTGTGCTCATGGGTGTCAGCCATCCGGCATTGCTATGCTTGAAAGACACATTCGACGAGGATGATGGCGTCTACCTCGTTCTGGAACTGGCGACCGAGGGCGAGCTATTTAATTGGATTGTCATGAAGCAAAAGCTGACTGAGCCGGAGGCGCGCAAGGTGTTTGTGCAGTTATTCCAGGCTGTCAAGTATTTGGTGAGTGCGCATCGATTGCGTTGCGGATAATACTAATCGATGATAGCATGAACGCAACATTGTGCATCGCGACATCAAGCCAGAAAATATCCTACTTACTGATAAGAACTTGTCTATCAAGCTGGCTGATTTTGGACTGGCGAAGATCATCGGTGAGGAATCGTTCACAACCACGTTGTGTGGAACACCATCATGTTCGGCCAGTCTTTGAAATCGCATTAATTTGCACTGACGATTGATCAGATGTCGCACCCGAGATATTAGAGAATTCGAACCACCGTCGCTACACGCGTGCTGTCGATGTCTGGTCATTAGGCGTAGTCCTCTACATTTGCTTGTGCGGCTTCCCGCCATTCTCGGACGAGTTGTACAGCCCAGAGAACCCCTACACATTGTCACAGCAGATCAAGATGGGACGGTTCGACTACCCGTCACCATATTGGGACTCCGTTGGCGACCCAGCTCTCGATCTCATCGATCGCATGCTGACAGTCGACGTCGAGTCTCGAATAACGATAGATGAATGTCTCGAGCACCCATGGACCACGGCAAATAATACCATCAACGTCAACGATAGTACCGATGGCTTGACTGGTGCCATCCAAAAGCTAGACTTTTCAAAGCGAAAGATGCAGCGCGAACGCACCCTACTCAGCAGTATCAACGACGTTAAGGTCGCTCGTGTGATCAAGGGAATAGAGGGCCAAGATGCAGTCAAGGTCTACGAAAAGATTGGTGGCATCAACGGCACGAAGATGAAGGCCGATAGAGAGTCGCACCCGGACAGCAAGAGAAACCCCCAAGAGTTCATTGAGATGGGTGGCAAAGGCGACCAGACATTGTACTCTGAGGAAGAAGATGGATCCCGATACCCCGCGGAACATAGCCTCTCCGTCCAAGAGAAGGACGGCTAGAGGAGAAGGCAGCATATGTGTGCAAGGTTGGAACGGTAGACGTCAGCCAAGCGTCTCTGGAGTTAATTGGAGTCTTTGCTTGAGGGGTGGAGCGTTGGTGGCTGTCATGACAATGGATTGCAGGATTGGGAGTAGCGCTTCTCTCTGCGGTGAGGGAATCATTCCATCTCGTCTACAAGTTACTGTAAATCACTACATAATATGCAATGAAGAGGTTTTGATATTCGATGAAAGGGATGCTGCATGGCCTGATCTGAAGTTGCGACCAATAGCGGATTGCGGACAACGAGAGGTTGCATGGCGTGTCGTGTTGCTTGTTCTTCTTGGTGTAGTTATCTGAGGTCGTCAGTTGGTGGTTCGATCGACTCTCTTGCCTTCGCTCGTCCTGTCTCCTATGTGGGTCCAAATGTCCGTTCCGCCACCCGTCCCTGCCAAGAGACCACTCGGAGGTGGCTCTGTACGTTGGTTTGATGGTCCGAGCGTGTCCCAGGCTGGGCCCTGGGAAATAATTATCTAGGTACGGCGCGCGCCCATCATTCCCCTTCAGCGCAACACACAAACACACACCACACACACTCGCTCACACGACAAGACTCTCGTTCTTGCTTGCAGCAGTCATGGCTGTTCTTGCTACCGTTGCCGGTCCATTGGGCGACTTCACCGCCAAATCTTCAAATTTTGTCCTTGCAATCACTGGCTTCGCCTCCTTTATCCTGGTGGCAGTGGTTCTGAACGTCCTCAAGCAACTCCTGTTTAAGAAGGCAAATGAGCCGCCTGTCGTTTTCCACTGGCTTCCTATTATTGGAAGCACGGTGACGTATGGCATGGATCCCTATGCTTTCTTCTTCCGCAACCAGAAGAAGTATGGCAACGTGTTTACGTTTATACTGCTGGGGCGCAAAATGACGGTGTGCTTGGACACCACGGGCAACAACTTCATCTTGAACGGCAAGATCAAGGATGTGAACGCCGAGGAGATTTACTCGCCACTTACCACGCCCGTATTTGGAAAGGATGTCGTGTACGATTGCCCCAACTCGAAGCTCATGGAGCAGAAGAAGGTATGTACATGTGTCTGTCTGAGGCCAGACTTCAGCTGCTAATAAAGACGATAGTTTGTCAAATTCGGCCTCACACAAGAGGCGCTCCGATCCTACGTCGTCATCATCACTCAAGAAACGGAAGACTTCCTCAAGCGCCACAAGGCTTTCAAAGGCCAGAAGGGCACGTTCGATGTCACAAAGGTCATGGCTGAGCTCACCATCTACACCGCCTCGCGCTCGCTACAGGGCGAGGAAATTCGCCGCTCCTTCGACTCCAAATTCGCCGAACTCTACCACGATCTCGACATGGGCTTCTCCCCCGTCAACTTCATGTTATCCTGGGCGCCCCTTCCCCACAATCGCGCCCGTGACCACGCACGCGAGACCATGATCGAGCTCTATTCCAACATTGTTCGCAAGAGGCGCGCAGGCGTAGCGAAGGACTCGCACGACATGATCTGGCACTTGATGGACTGCAAATACAAGGACGGAACTCCTGTTCCCGAGCACGAAATCGCCGGCATCATGATCGCCCTCCTCATGGCCGGACAGCACTCATCTTCCTCGACTATCGCCTGGATCCTCCTCCGCCTCGCGCAAAACCCGCACATAATCGAAGAGCTCTTCGAGGAGCAAAAGACAGTCCTCGGCGCCGACCTCCCAGCCCTCACCTACGAGGACCTCCAGAAACTCCCCCTGCACGCTCAAGTCGTCAAGGAAACCCTTCGCATCCACGCCCCGATCCACTCGATCATGCGCAGAGTCAAACAGCCCCTCGTTGTCGATGGCACAAACTTTGTAGTCCCCACCTCGCACACCCTCATGTCCTCGCCCGGCTTCTCCGCCCAACTCGACTCGCACTTTGCCAACCCCTCACACTGGGACCCCCACCGTTGGGACGCGGGTAACTCGCAGTACGACGAGGAGGCGGACGAAAAGGACGACGAGAAGATTGATTACGGATGGGGCGTTGTGTCCAAGGGCACGAATTCTCCTTATCTTCCCTTTGGCGCAGGCAGACATCGCTGCATTGGCGAGCAGTTTGCCTACTTGCAACTTCAGACCATCCTCGTTGCGTTTGTCCGCGAGTTCAAATTGAGGAATGTGGGTGGCAGTCGGGACATTATTGGTACCGATTACACCAGTTTGTTCTCGAGGCCCTTGGCGCCTGGTATCATCGAGTGGGAGAGGAGGGAGAAGGTCGAGTAGATGCTTGGTAGGCCTGGTTTTTACGGTCAAAAATCTTCCTGTGAGCTTTGTAGGGGTTGCGCCTGGTTTCACCATGCTTGGGCTCGTGCTTGGATTTGTGCTTGCTACGATGGTGGTAGGGCTGCGTAATGAAGTCAAGGTATGTACGAGACATTTTTTGCTCCTCTTTTCCAGAAAGAGGGAGGAGTTTTCTTTTCATGGGAAAAGAAATAAAGTTTACTTCTCCTTTCTACGCACCACAAGTAGGACTCATAGACTTTAGCATGTATAATTCTTCTATTCAATGTAATAATACATAATATCCATATCCGTTGATAGACTTCACCTATGCAGTTTTTAATCCCTCTACTTTCTCTGGGTCTTTTATTGAGGCTGGGGGGAACCTAATCAGGAGGGTCTTCTCCTTCTTTTCTCTTGCGTGATTTGGTTGCTCAGTGCACCATGCCGTGCTTCATCAGTGCTGTCGTTTTTGAACTTGATGATAGAAACAAAATCTACCGCTCGTTTTCCGATACTGCACGAATAGTAGATGCAGTAATGGCGCGGGGAGTCGACTCGGACGCTGTCCAAGTCATGTGCGAGGAATGCGAGGAGCTTGTGCCTACGGACAACGGTTGGGAAGCATGGGGTGTACATGATTGCTCGGATTCTTCGTGGTCGCTGACATCGCTCATGACTTCGTCTATGTACTCATGCTCGTGCTCGAAACTGTCATCAAGCTGCTGCTGGGCTCCAGCGGATTCGGCCTCGATAGCAGTCATGCGGTTTACAAACTCCTTCTTTAGTTCAATGAGCCATGCAGTGAGGACTTCGCCCTCGAGGACGCCGCTGTGGGCTTGGAGGAGATGTTCCTTGAGGTTGAGGATGAGCTTGCGACGCTTCTGCCTGAGTACGGTTGCACATGTCTGTTTCCTTTGTAGCATGTGACGTTCAAGCTGCTGGGCAACCTGTGTAGCATTTTCTACGACTCCGGGAGGAAGAGGGACAACTCGAGCAAGTGTGAGACCATAATGTGCTTCTTTGACGACCCCTTGAGTGGCTTTGTAGAGCATGGTCATGCTGCGCTCACTCTCGATCTAAGTCTATGCGTCAGTAGGGTGTTCGAGTACGGCACAGTCGATCAAAGTACTTCAACGGCCAGATGCAAGTTTTGTACCCCTGCTCGCTCGCTCATGATCGTTGCGAGGTCCTTGAAATGTGTTGCGAACCAAACGAGGGCCTGATGATGTTAGTATCGTTTATGCTGAACGCAATTGACCTACCCGACTGGAAACGAGAGCTTCTGCAATGGCCAAAGCGATGGCCAGTCCATCCCTTGTGCTCGTGCCACGGCCTAACTCATCAATGATGACCCTGCAGGCTGATTAATATAATCTGTACAAAAGATGGCGGGTGGACCCTACATGCTACGTTTATCTACGTTGCGGAGTATGAAGGCGATCTCTCTCATTTCCGCTGCAAAGGTAGAGACATTAGTATCTATATTATCGTCCATTCCCAGCCTCGCGAACAGCTGGTGAAGGATAGGAAACGATGCGTATGTGGCTGGAACGCTGTATAAGGTCAGTTGACATTAAGTATCTTGGCTACCACCATCGTCATACTAGCTGCCAATTTGCGCCATTATTGTCATCAAGGCTATAGAGCGGATATAAGTACTCTTCCCACTCATATTGCAACCTGTAATGACCTGGAATCGCGTTTGCTGCGTAGCATACACATCATTCGGAACGTATTTTGTCTGCATAATTTTCTCTTTTATCGGATGGCGTCCGGCCTCAATACCAAGAGTTTCAGAAAGCTGGGGCTGGGCTGAAATAATTAGTTTACTCCCACAAATGAGATGGGTAAGGCCTTACTGTAGTTATTCACTGTTACTAGATGGGCGAACGCCGCGACCCGAAGATCTGTCAGCTTTCCCTCGAATTAATAATAAAGTAGCTCTTACCATGTCTAACAGTGCCACCGCCTCGCAGATTTTGAACATGATGGACATGTGACTGCGAACTTCTTCGATTAGTCCTTCTACAGCTTGATCGCCTGTCGCGAATTAGCAGCAGTTGCAATAGTTCATAATATTGACATACTCATCAAGATAACCTCTTGATGAGATACGGCGATCTATATTCAATCAGTTAAGGTTGTCATATTGCAATTAAGTAACATACTTTCTGGTTACGCTTCATCAATTCAACCGTTTGACATTCTATATACTTCTTACGTTGTACAACGTTCGTGAAGATAGGAGGCAGCGCCTTGTTTTCAAGCTCAGACAGTGGGATCTTCATGTAGAATTGACGGGCACTCTCGTACTTGAGATCAAGCCGAATATCGTGTTCAGCTTTTGAATATCAGTCAGGAACGTTTTGCCATGATAAGTGGATAATAAGTTTACCGCTGAGCTCAATAGAATGCTGGTATGCGTCTTCGGTAGCTTCCTTGTAGGTGGTGCGGGCAACATCGAGTAGTCCGTTGACACCAGATCGGACGGCGTACACGCGTTGATTGCGCAATTCTAGAGGCTGCTTGGCGTATGTAGTATCTGTATTAATAACACGATTAATCAGTTCCTGTATGGGCGCAACATTCTCAGGGGCACAAAGCTATTGTAGATGTTAACAAGAGCATTCAGGGATAGGAGGCTGCCAAACCTCGCGAATGTTGTTCAACATGGTGGATGTTGTGCCTGTAAGAGCCTCGTATATCGGGTTCACGGTGCCGACAAATTGCTAGGACATTGAATTATTCAATGTCGTTATCGTGACTTTATGAATTACCTTTAGCATGATGATCTGGTTGATAGCTTGTTCAGTGGTGTGCAGGGTTGGTCTGGCTGGAGTGACAATGAGCTGTACTAGTTAGTTCAAATTAATCTCATGAAGTATGCAAATTCCACACTGCCGTGAGTATACGGTCGGCGTCAAGAAAAGTCTTGAGTGCTACAGCTCGTCAGCGGTCGATTCAGTTCGAGGGCCTAAAACATAAGACTCACCCGCACGGGTCGCAAAGAACATTTCCTCTTTCTTGGTTAAGTCGTCCACTGCAGCATAACGAGTATGAAGGACATCCGCATCAGTGAGTGGCTGTAAAACATTATTTTGAAGTAGTCGGGCCCCCATTGGTGTCAAGGTCTCATTAAGAAGTCCAAAGAGGCAATCCCTGGACCTTGCATTCTGAAGGTTCTGGATAAGTTCTAGAGAGTATATCGTGGAAACATCGATCATCATTGAACCTTCCGAAGGCTCGTATCTGATTCTGAGCGAGTGATAAGAAAACACCAGTCCTAAGCCTAGATCGATGTATTTGAGCGCCTGATTTGATCAGCTTTAAGAGCTGTTGTCGTAGCGACAAACACCTACTGCAGCTGCACAGCATACGGCGTAATAATTGCCAGTCACTGAGATTTTGATAGCCTCGACGTTTTCTTTGAAAGCCAGCGAATGGATGTACTCATAACCCGTAGATTCAGCCCAGTAACGCCGGTCAAGCAGGGTGATTTTGCTATCAATATCTTCCAAGCTTTCCTCAATGATAGAGAACAACTTTGACTTCGGGCTCGCCGCAGTCGAAACGATGAGGATCTCTGAAGGGGCATACACTTTGAGCTTGTGAACTGTACGAATGTAGGTTTGACTGTCACAGATCTGACAGAGTACTGCTTCAGCGGTGTCAAGGTTTACAAATGTGAGGCCAACTGTGGGTGAGATACCGCGCGACTCGGCTTTTTTAACAGTCACCAGTCAGTAGTTGTAGCTATGATAAGCTGACGAGGGATTTACCGACGGCGCAAACCACATTTTGAGCTTCGATGCGGGCTATGGTGGATGCACCAGTCCGCGGACGAGCAGTGGAGGGCCGGCCAGTACCTCTTCGAGTACCAGGGCGCGATGTCGTTGTAGTATTGTACTCGCCATACGGGTAGTACCCGTAGGATGAAGACGCTGTGCTACTGTACGACGTCAATGGTCTCCTGCGCTGAGACATGACGATTAGTGATAGGCAGTCAGTCTCGATGATGAAAGTTTTCTGATGTGTAGCTTCTGGTCTTTCAAGGGCTCAGTTCAATTCAGTTGAGTTCAGATGATAGATAGCGCAGAAATGAAGCCTGAGAGCAAACGCGTCGACATGTGTGGCGGTGTTAGCGCGTCACCCCTGCTAGCGCTTGGGCTATCGATAGCTACCCGTGAATTTATTTTTTGATACTCCAAAGTCCAGCTCGACAGCGGGGCGTTTAGCAAGACAACATCGTTTATCCGATATTCAAATCAAAGCCTCCCAATTCCTCTTGAATCACAGCAAGTCATTATGGCGACGCAATATCCGCCCCCGTCGAAACGCCAGAAACGGGAGCAGGCAGAGATTGCGCGCCAACAGCAGGATGTCGACAATACCATTCCCGATGGCACTGTTCGAGTGCGCTTCGTTGACCAGGCCACCGGAGAAAGTGGCAATCTTCCCGTCCTGACGGTGCAGCTGTCACAAGCATCGACCAAGAACCTCGAATTACTGCTCAACGAACTCAAAGATCAGTCCGACGATCAAATACCATATCGCTTCTTCCCTGACGGTGCTACCGAAGCACTCGGAGACAAGGAAGATCTATACAATGCCTTGGTAAAGTCAGGGAAAGCATCGGCAGAAAGCGAGATTGTACTGCAGTATGCGCCGCAAGCCGTCTTCAGAGTAAAGGCTGTGTCAAGGTGTTCCGCAGCTGTCTCTGGTCATGGCGACAATATCTTGGCCGTGAATTTCTCCCCGGAAAGCTCCAGCAGGATGGCAAGTGGCAGTGGGGACAAGACGGTTAGAATTTGGGACTGTGATACTGGTACACCTGTACATACAATGAAGGGGCACACGAGGTGGGTGTTGGCTGTGTGCTACTCGCCTGATGGGTCGTTGTTGGCTTCCGGAGGTTACGACAACGAGGTGCGTATATGGGACCCCAGTACTGGAAAGCAGATCGGCGGACCCCTCAAGGGTCATGCCAACTTCATCACATCGCTATCATGGGAGCCATACCATCTACAAGAACCAGGCCGACCAAGAGTGGCTTCGTCGTCAAAAGATGGCACAGTCAGGGTATGGGACGCGATAGGAGGAAAGATCGAATATGCCTTGGCGGGACATAAAAGCAGTGTGACTTGCGTAAAATGGGGCGGTACTGGGCGCATTTACACGGCTTCGCACGACAAGACTATCAAGGTCTGGAATGCTTCCACGGGATCACTCATCAACACACTGTCTGGCCACGCACATTGGGTGAATCATCTCGCTCTTTCGACAGACTTTGTCCTCCGTACCTCCTATCATGACCACACTAGAAAGGTTCCTTCAACGCCCGAAGAGAAGCTTGCCAAAGCAAAGCAACGTTTCGAAAAAGCAGCTACACTCAATGGCGAGATTGTCGAGCGTCTAGCAACAGCATCAGAAGACTGCACTATCATTCTTTGGACACCACTGAGCAGCACGAAGCCCGTTACAAGAATGACGGGCCACCAGAAGCAGATCAACCAAGTTACCTTCTCACCTGATGGCCTACTTCTGGCGTCTGCGGCATGGGACAACCATGTTAAGCTCTGGTCCGCTCGGGATGGTAAATTCCTCAACACACTACGAGCGCACGTTGGACCAGTGTATATGACTTGCTTCTCTGCCGACAGCCGATTGTTGGCGAGCTGCAGTAAAGACACCACGCTGAAAGTGTGGGATATGCGGACTGGAAAGTTGAAGGAAGATCTGCCAGGTCACAAAGATCAAGTGTTCGCCCTTGATTGGAGCCCAGATGGTGATAGGGTAGGTAGTGGTGGAGCTGATAAGCAAGTGAGAATATGGAGCCACTAGTAAAGATGCAGGTCACTGTAGTGTTAGCATATACCCAATGGATATGGTTACGTTCTCGACAAGCTCGAGTCACGAAGTTCTTCATCAAGGTAATTGCTACCACTTTCTGGCAACGCGGCTTCTCTGAGGCCCCCCTCTTGCAATATGCACCTCTGAAGGACCAAATGGAAATGGCAGGGCCCAATTTAATCGAGAGGGCTACAAGTACTGTGGTGTTTGAGAATAGCAATCCATTTGTTCTACGTACCGGTACGGTAGGTGCCTCTGGCTCAGCAAAGTTAAAGTTTCAACACTTCAACGCGTTGTAAATCGAGATCAGAAGTGATAATACGCCATAGTGCTGCACCACTCACCTATAGGTAGATACGGGAAATCACAAAAAAAAAGGCTAATGATGTACTGGTTGGTACTACTCTACGATAGGTACTCTGTACAGGGCCGGCCAAAAGTAACCTTGCCTGCGCCACCGGAAAGGCTGTGCCGAAGGCTAATGCGATTATCCCCGCCCATGCGCGCCAAGCTACCGAGGATCGGCTGAGAACGCGTCAAAAGCGGATAGCCCGACGTCATCGCTCGAGGGGACAAGCTTCCCAGAAAGGCAGCCCTTTCATTGCACTGCGCAACTGTCTGTGAATGGTCTGCGAATGAATGCGGCCCTGGCACGTCGAGTGTGGAGCTCTTTGCGATGAATGATGGACAGAAAACCGGTCTCTCGAATTTTGTACCTACGTCAATTCATGATCTTCTTCCTCTGTTGGCTGATAATAGATATCCCGGCTCTCCTATGTGGTACACATTGGCTGTGCCTGCATGTGCTTGATGTTCGCGCCGTCATTCTTGTCCTTGCTTCACGTTGCCTGCATCATCCGCATCGTCCACATTGCCCACATTGTCGACATCCTACATATGAGCTAACTCAGTGTTCCACCATTCACCACCAGCTACGTCGCGACGACTGTACAAACTGCCGGCTCTCCAGGCTGACTCCCTTTCCCCACCTCACCCCCACCCATCACTCGACTTCTACAGCTTCCAGTTGCCTGACTATTTACGAATCATGTCGGGTATTGACGATGTGGAAAGCGGACGCAAGAACTTCAGGAGGCCTCACAACGCCCACAACCCGATCCCTACAATCTCCAAATATCGCGAGGAAAAGGAAAGAAGACAAGAGCAGTATGGCCACCCGAACGAGACCCAAGGCACAGAAGAACCCTCGAAACGCGACCGACTTGGAGACGCATACAGCGTGTTCAAGCATGGCAGGAGCGATGGCGACAATTCAGGCGACGCTGGCCACTATAGAGCTGTAAACAAGAACCTAGTGCAACATGAGGATGAGCAAGAAGCCGAGGACCACGCGGGAAAATTGTCATCTACAAAAGAAGAGCGGGAGCAGGAGAGTGACGGTGACGATGGCGACGAGAATGGAATGAAAGACACAACGCAGGGCAACCTTAGTTCTTCAGATCCAAAACAGGCGCGGAAAGAGATGAAGAAGTTCAAGCCTGACGGGTCAGACAGACAAGTCACAGATCCCGTTACCCATCTTCCGGTCAATATCCATGACTTCACAGATCATGACCTGGACACAACTCCCCACAATCCTCCACCTGTAGGGTCAGAACCAAGAACTATGACTGGTATGGAAGCTCTCGACAAAACGGACGACCATCTCAAAAATGAAGAGCAGGAGTCCAAGGACGCGCACACGGCCATGGAAGTATTGTTCCCACCCCCAGAATTCAACCGAACACGCAGCGAAATTACGACGGTGTATATGCAGGCAGTCACAGTCGGTCTTGCGGCTGTTGCTGTCAGTCTGATGGTGATCAACGCCTCGTTCTGGCCCACGCGACACCACACTGGCTGGCCAAGGCAGGCATTTAAAGCTGCGGAACTCGCTACTATGGCTCTGGCTTCTGCAGGGATTATTGCATTCATGCGAAAATGGTCGGAGAACAGGATTAAGAACGTTTGGGATGTCGAAGTGTGGCATGCTGAGCGGAAGCGTGGGCGGAAGCTTGCAAAGAGCCAGACTGCGGAGAGCACGCAGTGGTTGAACTCGTTATTTGCAGCAATCTGGCCACTGATCAATCCTGATCTGTTCGTGAGCATATCTGATACCCTTGAGGTAATATCAGATTCACAAAAGATCATCCAGAAGAAGTCAGCTGACATTTATAGGACGTTATGCAAGCTTCCCTACCGAGCATGGTACGCATGGTAGCAGTTGAAGATCTTGGTCAGGGCAGCGAAGCGCTGCGCATTCTTGGTGTGCGATGGCTACCAACAGGGGCAGCTGCACGGTCCATTGGCTCTGATGGCAAATTAAAGTCCTCAAATGAAGAGAAACAGGATCGCCAGCAAGAAGACGACGGAGATGAGGAGAACAACAAGGAGCCGCAGGGGTCGAGTCAGCAGCCAGAACATGACGAGATGGAAGCAGAGGAAGGTGACTTTGTCAATGTGGAAGTCGCATTTGCCTATAGGCCCTCGACAGGACGCGGTATCAGGTCTCGGGCCAAGCATGCACATCTTTACCTAGCCTTCTATCTTCCTGGAAATGTCAAACTACGTAAGTTTACCCGTTGATAACTTGCGAAGTAAAATGCTTACATATCTAGCCGTATGGGTCGAATTGACAGGCATCGTTGGCGTCATGCGCCTTCGACTCCAACTGTGCCCGGATCCTCCTTTCTTCTCTATCTGTACCATGTCATTCCTTGGCCAACCTAAAGTTACTCTTTCCTGCGTACCACTCATCAAAAAAGGACCAAATTTGATGGACGTACCCCTGATCTCCAAGTTCGTTCAATCATCTATTGATGCCGCCTTGGCCGAGTACGTTGCTCCCAAATCCTTGACGCTAGATCTCAAAGATATGATGATGGGTGATGACTTCAAGAAAGACACAATCGCACAAGGAGTGATATGTGTCAGGATAAAGTATGCGTTTGATTTCAAAGAAGGTGATGGCAGGATTGGACCCTTCGGCGGCTCTGCTGACCCGTATGTGAGCGTGGGTTGGGCTAAATTTGGAAAGCCGCTATGGTCGACACGCATTTTGCAGAAGAACATGGAACCTCACTGGGATGAAACAACCTTTATTTGCGTTACTCCTTCCGAGTTGAATGTGGACGAGAAACTTCGGCTCCAGCTTTGGGATTCGGATCGCACCACTGCTGATGATGACCTCGGGCGTATTGAAGTCGACCTCAAGGAGATAATGAAGAGCGAGGAGTCTAATGGTAAAATGGTGGACCGCGAAGACGGTTTCAGGGCCCTCAAGGCCGGCGAGACCATGCCTGGGAAGCTTAGCTGGAGTGTTGGTTACTTCTCCAAGACCAGAGTCACTGATGACCAATTGATGGCACAAGAGGAAGATCCTGATGTCAGGAATATCGACCAATTGAAAGAAAAGGCATATAAAGAAGCAGAGAGGAAACTCAGAGAGGCCAGCCAGGATCATCAACACGAGGTCGAGCAGCAAAAGTCCGAAGACTTCCGAAATCGACAAGATCAACTCATTGTTGCCACACCACCTTCTGACGAATATCCTTCTGGAATTCTTAGTATCCAGATCCATCAAATCACCGGTCTGCAGCTTGAGGTACTCAATAAGAAGAAGGAGGATTCGAACAGTGAAGCGGCCACTGATGAGGAAGAGGAAAGTGACGATCTTCCCTCTTCATACTGTACCATCATCCTTAACCACAAGAAAGTCTTCAAGACACGAACCAAGCCTAAGAACTCCAAGCCTTTTTTCAATGCAGGTTGTGAGCGCTTCATCCGCGATGTACGCAACACCGAAGTCCACATCGCAGTACGTGACGCCCGTGTCCACGAAGACGACCCTCTACTAGGCATCATCTATCTTCCGCTCGAGAAGGTCTTCCACAAGCGTAGTCAAATCAACTCCACTTTCCCTCTTTCCGGTGGGGTTGGCTATGGTCGTGCCCGTATCTCGATGGTCTTTCGCAGTATCCAACTTCAAGTACCCAAACCCATGCTAGGCTGGGAATATGGAACTCTCGACATTCAACATCGAGTTAAAGCCATTGATCTTCCCAAAGATATCCAGCCCTTGCGTATGAAGATTCGCACCAGGACTACACGGGGTAAAATGCATTCCCGCAATCGGAACGGCCATGTTGAGCAAGAAAACGGACAAGCAGTCTGGTCGACCCGAAACAACAAACCGATCCGCCTCCCTGTCAGACAACGCTACTCGACCCCAATGATCATCGAGTTCCGACAAGATGCTACGCTCAAGGACCATACCGTTGCCTTTGGCATCTTCTGGCTAAAGGATATGCCGGACAATGAAGAACAGACCGTGCGTATTCCCGTTTGGAGGGGGGACGTCAAGCGTGCCGAGGATAATGTTCTTGATGAGTATGGTGAACGTGTTGGCGAGGTCGAAGTTACATTTGCCTTTTGGAGCGGACTCTCAGGGTATCACGAGAAGTTTGCAAAGGGCGACGGCCATCTCCGTCAAGTCATGGAGGTGTTGGATGTCTGCAACGATGAAGAGTGGACAGATTGGGATGACTCGTCCTCAGACCCGAAGATCGGCATCAACGATAACAAGGAGACTGAAGATGATACTTCCTCATCCTCGGATAGTTCTGACTCGGACGACGATAGTAGTGGCAGCAAGTTTATTCCCAATTTCCTTCAGAAAGACAAGAAGACAGATTCGAAGCTTAGTGAAGACGGCGAGAGGGGCGTTATGGCACAGATCAGAGACTACAAGGAAAGTGCGCACCATTTGCATCGCAAGAACAGGGGAATGATGCAGTGGAAGGGCCCCCGGACTCTGGCCTGGATGAAGCATGTTGGGGATCGAGGGAAGACAAAGGTCAAGAATGTGTTCCAACATAGTGATAGGGTGGGACAGGGGATTGAGACAGAGGGTACTTGATGTTTGCGTGAGATGGGCTCGGCGGCCTAGCAATTGGCGTTTTGGTGTTGGAGGGTTGCACATGCGACGGCGTTTAGGGGAAATGTACATGGTGTTGTAACGAATCAACGACAGGATAATTGCGATCATGGGTGATGCAGCCCAGTTCTCCATAGAGAAGCATTCAATAAAAAGTCACGAGGTCTGGTGACTGGTGACTATCAGTATGTACATGTGATCTGCTCAGAACCTTGTAGCCATGTTTCTACTCCTAGTATATCATCCTTCGGGAAAAGCCCTACCCTCACTAAACTCCCTAATCTCCTCCCAATCCCTCACCCACACTACCCTTCCTCCTCCCTCCTCTCCCCTCCCTTCCCCAACCCTCCACTCCCCCAACTCCCTCAGCCTTAAACACCGCACCCCCACCCTTTCCAACGCATCCGTAAGCTGCCTCTGCGACTCGCCCAGCGGCTCATCCCTCACGCAGATACCCAAATCCGCAGCCAGCAGCGCCTCGATATCCGTCCAGCTATCCCCCACGTACACAATGGGACGGCGCATGGCGTCTTGGGCGCGCAAGCGCTCCAGGTGCTGTAGTTTGTCGCCACTGGAGAGGATATTCGGGGTGATGTGGCCGGTGGAAGGGGTGGAAGGGGTGGCCGGGGAAAGGGAGTCGAGGTCGTTTGCTAGGATTGTGGGGGAAAGACAAGGGGAGAAGGCGGAGAGACAGGCGTGAAGGAAGTGAGAGCTCCAGTTTACGCTTAGGATTGCTGTTTTGTCTTGATTTTGAGGATTTGCTTGTGATGGGGAGTTGATGGAGTTATAGAATGTTGTGAAGCCAGTTCGTGGTCTTACCTGGCCTTGGTGGACGGCCTGCTGGGCGCCAGTGTGGAGTTGTTGCCATGTTAAGCCAGTGAAGATTGATGACGCCGAGACGCGGGCTAGACTTCGTTCTTCGACGGGGCGCAGGTTTAGTAGGCGTTTTTTTTCCTCGGGGAGGGTGGATGGTAGCTTTTTGGCTGGTGCGAGATGGGATAGTGTCGAGCTGTAGTCGTCCAGGTAGGCTTTTGTGACCCGTGACCAGTGTTCAGAGGTGGGGAAGGAGGGCTTGGTAGCTGCGGATATGGAGACGAGGGTGTTGAGGGTGTCTTGTTGGGTTATCGTGCCGTCGAAGTCCAAAATCCAGTGGATTGGGGGTCTGGGTAACATGGTGTATGATCTGGTGAGGGCAAGAGGGAAGAGAGATTTGGAGGAGTGGGGAATTGGTCTTGGGAAGAGCTGCATTCGGGTAGGAGGATTCGATACTATGTAGTCAGTGTTGAAATGAGGCATGCTATACGCCTGGTTGTGTGGTGGCGATGGGTGTTTACTCTCCACAAACTCCACCATGAACGCTACGGTACCGGGCAGTGCCTTTGTGTGTGTGTGTGTGTGTGTGTGTGCCTGTTCTACCCCAGATAGCCCCAACTTACCAGGCAGGAAGTACCTAGAAGATGTGACTTTTCCTTCTCCAGATGATGGCGTAGTTGCAGCTCTGGCGGCAAGGGCAGGACAGGTGCAAGTGATTTGTTTCTCCAGATCAACGCTGGGAGACAGCGACGCTGTGATTGCTCGGGAAAATAGCGCACGTTGTCAAAACAGGCAGGGCGAAGAGACAGTGGTAACTATACCCGACGACGCGACACGCGACGTCTGTCGACAGTTGTGGGCTCTCCTTCACCCTCTCCACCTCAAAACACCGTCGCCCTCTGGACAGACCGTTGCATTCTTTTGAGCGTTTGCTCTCAATGCTGCCTGTCTCCGCCGGACATCATGGGACCGGCGCCACCCAGCCAATCGCAGCGGCGCTATATGTCTGGCCCGCCCTAAACCGAGATGTCTGCACCCTAATGGCAAGGCGACGCGGAGCGACGAGTTGTTCTTACGAACGCTCGACGTTAAGTGATAAGAAAGGCGACTCACGGCACTCGAGGCACAACCAAGTACGAAAATAAGAAGCTGCCGTCCCCTCCGCTTGAAGGCCACTTTTCTCTCTCTCTCTCTCTCTCTTTAGCCTTTCTTCGAACAAAGCCATCTCGCCGTCGACTTCTTCCCCCACCCTGATCGTCTGCTCCACGTCGCTTGCAACCACCAACCACCAACACGACGACTACAACCATGGCTCCAGGCGCAATCCACAACGACACGGCTGCAGCGGCCAATGGAACTACCCTGAAGCCTACCGCGCCTTCATTCCACCCCACAGGCACCCCAGACCCCGCAAGGTACCACTCGGCATCGTCAGAGGATGCCATCCATGCCGAGGCCAAGTTCGCAGCACACAACTATCACCCACTGCCCATTGGTAGGCCTGCTTCCAGGCTCATGTCATCTCAGATCGCTGACGGCTCGCAGTCTTCTCGCGTGCAAGTGGATCCAGCGTCTGGGACCCAGAGGGCAAACACTACCTCGACTTCCTCTCGGCCTACAGCGCCGTCAACCAAGGCCACTGCCATCCCGAACTCGTCAAGGCTTTGACTGAGCAGGCCTCGCGATTGACTCTTAGTAGTCGCGCATTCTACAACGATGTCTTCCCACGCTTCGCAGAGTATGCGACCAAGCTGTTTGGCTTCGACATGATCCTCCCAATGAACACTGGAGCCGAGGCTGTCGAGACTGCTGTCAAGGTTGCGCGCAAGTGGGGATACAAAGTCAAAGGCATTCCGCAGAACGAGGCATTGGTCTTTTCTGTGCAGGAGAACTTCCACGGCCGAACCGTGAGTGCCACTCGAAGCCTCCCATCTGCAACGCTAATGCGATCCAGTTCGCTGCCATCACCATGTCCACTGACCCAGAGTCGCGCGACAACTACGGCCCATACCTTCCCGGCATTGGAAGCAACTGCCCTGTCACGGGCAAGCCCATCCGCTACAACAACGTCGACGACGTACGCGATGTCTTGGAAAAGCACGGAAAGAACACGGCTGCCTTCTTGGTAGAGCCGATCCAGGGTGAGGCTGGCATTGTTGTACCAGACGACAGCTACCTACGTGAAGTACGCGCTCTTTGCGACAAGCACAACGTGCTCCTCATCTGCGACGAGATTCAGACGGGTATTGCACGGACAGGCAAGATGCTCTGCCACGAGTGGAGCGGCATCAAGCCCGACCTGGTTCTATTGGGCAAGGCCATCTCAGGCGGCATGTACCCCGTCTCGGCTGTTTTAGGCTCAAAGGAGGTCATGCTTACCATCGAGCCTGGCACACATGGTTCAACATACGGCGGCAACCCCCTGGGCTCTGCTATTGCAATCCGTGCCCTTGAGCTGATTCAGGAAGAGAACATGGTCGAGCGCGCCGAGACACTGGGCCAGAAGTTCCGTCAGGGACTCAAAGCAATCAACAACCCCATGATCACAACCATTCGTGGCAAGGGTCTGTTGAACGCCATCGTCATCGATGAGAGTAAGACAAACGGTCACAGTGCATGGGATCTGTGCATGCTTTTCAAAGCGAAAGGTCTATTGGTAGGAAGAGCCCTCAATAATTATGCACAAAAGAAAATGTTCAAGCTACTAAGACAGACGCGCAGGCAAAACCGACTCACCAAAACATCATCCGCCTTGCGCCTCCACTGGTCATCACCGAGGAGGAGATCGAGTCTGCTCTCTCCATCATCAAGGAGGCTATGGAGGAGTTGCCCAAGCTCAAGGGTGACAAGGAGAAGGAGGTATTGACCTCGGCTGCTGGTCTGGAGAAGAATGTCCGCATTGGAGTAGATAACTGATGTGACTGAACTACTTACGATACCCCTTGGAAGACATGGTATTGTCTTCGAACTGCTGTTGCCGTTCTGGTCTTATTATTACACGCCGTTTTGGGATGTGGCATAACAAAGGAATACATCTCAAAGAGCTTCCCATCTTTCACAGAAACGAGAAACCAATCTCCGGCCGTAGCGACAATGTGCACCCCATGGCAGTCGTAGTTGCCACATTTTGCGTGCTTCTTAGCTGTCGCTCCACGCTCATCCCTGTCTTGCTTGACTTGGCTTTTGTCTCAATTCTCTAGCTTCATTCAACATACATGACACCATGGTAAACCGCGCGTAGAAAAGTGGAAACATATTGCAAGTACAAGGATATCGTATTGCATTGTCCGCTTTGCTCGCCCGTGACCAGGGATAGTTCTAGGCCGAACAAGAGAGTAGGCAAGAGTTCGCCTGCCTCACATAAATTGGATAGTCAAATCACGCGCCGTTTTTCGAGTCCTCACTTCCATTATTTGCCTGTACTGTCGGTCTAGGGCTTGTTGCATTCGGCGCGCCTACATGGAAGGCGTAAGTGCATGTGTCGAATCTGTATTTTTGAGGGGTATGGCGAGGCGCATGAATGTATATCCTGGACAAAGCCTTGCATATAAAAGTCTCCGTGGCCCTTTGTCCTCATGTTTGGAGGGGCGTTTTGCAAACAGCTTAAGTGATGAGAAAGATGACGACAAGGTAGAATGGGCCTACAGTCACTGCAGTATAAGATGGGTTCTACAGTCAATGCAGTAGAAGTTCGCATAGCAAGAGCAGAACAGTCTTCGTCAATCCCTTTACTAGTATTTCACCATGGCGGCTCGCGAGATCAACACTCTGGCGGATTTCGATTTTCACTTCCACCCTACAGACCGCATTCGAGGCCTTATAGACCAAACATTTGGTGTCCCTCTACCTGATGAAGTTGAAAAAAAGCTAGATGAGAGCAGAAGCACGCTCAACCCGTTAGACATTCGAGAGCTGTGTCGCTCCTGTGGCTGGAATGATAAACACGAACTCGGAAGCTCATATATATCACGCCTTGGTGTCTTTCATACGCGCGGGAACCGTGGCTTGTGGGTCATGGGAAACGACTGGATGATCTGGGATCGCACAGAGGAGGAGAGTGGGAACGACTATATGACACACCAATTTCTTCAGAAACACAATCCGAAGAATATACCGCTTCTAAAGACTATGGCTGAGTTCAAGGATGAAAATGGAAAGTATAACTTTGTTGTCTTGTCTCGAGCCAGGGGGGTTCCACTGCATAATGTATGGAAAAAACTGTCTCGCAAGGAAAAGCGTGGCTATGCCCATCAGGTGGCTGAAATGCTTCGAGAACTACGCGGGTTCACGGCGGAATCCCCGCAGAGAGTGGATGGAAGTCCGATATGGGATAATATCGTTGCAGCGTGCGGCTCACGCAAGCATTGCATCAATGTTGGAAAGACAAAGGAGGAGTGGATGAAGAATATGGAAGAGGAGCTCCGAGAAGGCATTTCGAGACAGTTGTTGACCAAGGATAAAGCAGTCATTGAAGCCAGGCTACAAGAGATAACGGTATGTCTTTTAGATATAAACTGTTCCCATGACACAGCACTTACTTGGTTGCAGCATAACTTTCCAGATGGTGCACCCTATGTCCTTAGCCATTGTGACCTCAACTTGGGCAACATCCTTGTCCACGACGGTAAAGTCGTGGCCATTATCGACTGGGAAACGGCTGGCTACTTACCGTGGTGGGTCGAGATCTTCACATCCTATTACCGTTCCCTCAGTCACGCCGACGACGAGTTGTTCGACATGGTTTGGAAGGAACTTGGCTTGAGCATCGAAGACCTCAGAAAGGACATCGGAGCCGTCATTTCAGCCTATGGTCGCTGTCCGGTGGAACATACTGGCCGTACGCATATCTGGCTGCGCCCGCCTTTCTGCGAATGCAAAGATAAAAACTCGGGGGGCGTCATTCGTGCGCACGAGATCGATTCCGAGGAGAAACACTATATCAATTACGAGGCGCGTTGCTTGGATTACAATGGGGAGTATGCATGGTGAGGGTTTCTATACATGCCACCATGAAGAGCCTAAAACCAGGGGTGAGTGCAAACAATCATCATGTAGACTAGAGAGTGCCTTACCTGCTGTTCTGTCGGCATGTGATGCCAGTATTTCACGGCTGGCTTGGAGGAATTCAGGGATTGAAATGTTCTCTCGCAGTGTATGCTTTGATGCTGTTGTGCAGGAGCGTAAACTGCCATCAGCGTCCCTGATCATGATGGCAGATTGAGAACGGCATCCCACGCGTACCGCCATCAGCACGCTGTCTTTGAGCAACTGTACGACCGTTTCGAGTAAATTTCCCCTGATTCGATGGGAAGACGGAAAGTACTCGACGTTGGAGCCGAAGGAATATATGCGATAATTGAGTTTTCCATTCTTATCTTGGGTCGGTATCGTTTGTGCACCGCATTTGCATGTCTGCTGTTGGCTGGGATGGTTCTCTTTGCAAAACCAGCACTTGTTTTTGTCTTCGTTGGGGTTCAATGCTGCGTACATATTTTCTGAGTTTGATTAGAGTTTTTTTTTTGAAGAAGTTGGGAACAGGAGTCTGGTAATGCAAATCCTTATATATCTGTATTCCTTCTATGATACAACTACCTAAACCCAAGACCAAGGGCCATCTGAATTTTCCCCTATGGTACTTCTGCAACATTGCGAATCCTTTTACAGTAGCCTGAAGATTTGGTCGAAGTCTTAGCATGTCTTAGTCTATCTCAGCAACTCCTGATCAGCGTTGAGCGAGCACAGGTATTGTAGGCAATCCAATCAATACTTCGAAAACATCGTAATCTGAGAAAGTCTCGACGAGAACGTTCAAACTTGTGCCTCACCCTGAAAGGGGTCTCAGAGCTTAGGCTTGAGAGCTTTCATTTGGAGTCCACCTCGCAGTGGACGGCCGTCTCTCTCTCTACCTAGTAATTGGTATTTGCTTGCTTGGTTCTTTGAGATGTCACAGTCGTTCTAATTGTGCGCGAGAGAGAAGAATGGGGTGCAGCTTTTCATGGAAAGTACTTTTTATGTGGGTAGAGAGAGCTACGCCGACCTGGGAGATGTTACGTCAGCCAGCCGATAAAAATACACTCGTTTTCGCCACGTGACTTGGTAGCGGGCCGTCTCTACTACAAGAGACTGTATGAATGTAAAATCCATCTCTTTTGCGTATGATAATGTGTTGCTGTCGTGCCCATCTTGCCCTGATATGCATGCTGAGAATACAACTTTGGTAGCTGGATACAGGGTGCATGTACCTACTGCAGATAGATTCTCCAAGATAGACCCGTCTGAAAGCTAGAAGAGGGCAAGAGAAAGATATGCCTACAAAAATATGTTGAGAGTAAGAAACGTGTACATTGACGATGCGGTGAACAAATGCCTATTGTATCATCAGTCCCCCCACTTCCGGGCGTCGGGGTTCAATAGTCCAATAGCTAAAGGACATCGCCGGTCGGAAACGGCATACCGATCCGGCGGCAGCAGCCGTACCATTCAAAGAGACATGACTAAGCATTGACGAGTGCTATGCAAACAATCTAGAAGCAACTAAACGCAAGTCAACGGGTGCGAGTAACCGCTGGGTCGGCAGAGAAGCAGTTTCCATAGTAGGGCCCCACATGCCCTTCATCCATGGTCACACTGTAGGAGTAGCCGTACTGCGGTATTGATGGTACCGGTACTGTAGGCTGGAGTCGGGACGTGATACAATACTAGCAACCCGCGAGGACAAGCATGGAAGACGGGGCAAGGTCTGCCAGGTTCCATTAGACACGTGCTTGTTGCCATGGCCTGATGTAGAGTAGTTGTAGCTACGGTACAATCACTGCTTCACTTCGATTTCACGATGCTCCCAGCCAAAAACAACAGTAAACGGCCGATCGGGTCATCGGAGCATATATCGACCCGATGGCCTCGCGTCCGCCTACTCTGGCCTAGCAACCCCAGATTGTTCACCCGATGGCGCTCCTGCTCATTGGCCTGCTTTTATCTCCATTTATAACCATAGACTAGTCTGGCAAAAAAGACACTGACTTCATGACTACAGACTCGTACTCGCCCTTGTCATTTTACATAAACAGTCCCTTGTCCGCCATGACTTGTACAGATCCCTGGTCCAGTTTGATGTGTTACCGACTCTTCCTTTCTCTCTCTTCTCTCTCTTCTCTCTCTTCTCTCTCTTCCTCTCTCTCTCTCTCTCTCGCTCCCACATACACACCCCCAACACTCTCTCAATCATCACTGCCCTCTCACGCGTCGGCAAGGCAGCGCATTCCATGCGGCGATTTTAGCCGTTCTGTCGGCGTAATATCTTAGTCATCGGCAATCTGTCTGCCGACATCAAAGAAGCCGCAATGGCGAAATCCAATTCAACCTCGTCGCTTGATGAGACGGAGAAAGAAAAAGTGTTTGGTGCCCAGGATCCCCAGGCCGCGGCGACAGAATACGCACCCATAAAGACGCAGCCGTCGCAAAAGGACCTCAAAGTTGGAACCGACAGCCACAGTTCGCATGGCGGCCTTTCGAGATCAACTAGCGCTTACTCCGAGACCACTGACAATGACTCCGATGCGAGAAGTACGATGCGGAAAAAAAAACCCTGGCATAGGAGATTAAATTTTCTTAAGCGGAACCCGCCTCCGGTGCCGAAACAGCGCCAAGTTTGTCCAGAGTACACCGCGGGTCTCTTCAGTAGATTAACCTGGCAATGGATGCAGCCGTTGATGTCGGTCGGGTACAAGCGCCCGCTGGAGCGGAATGATATCTGGACAGTCAACCCTGAACGCAGTGCCGATGTCATGGCGAAGAAGCTCGAGGCAGCTTTCCAGAGACGGAGAGCAGAAGGCAAGCAGCGACCGCTTATTGGAGCAATGTACGACACATTCAAATGGGAATTCATCATTGGTGGTCTGTGCCAGCTTTCGGCATCCGTAATCCAAGCTGTCGCGCCCTACGTTCTCCGCTATCTCATCGCCTTTGCCGTCCGTGCATATGCTTCGCAACAGACGGGATCGCCGGCGCCAAACATGGGTGAAGGTTTCGGATTAGTAGTGGGCATCACCGCACTGCAATTCTTGCAGAGTATGGCGACGAACCATTTCATGTATCGTGGTATGATGATTGGAGGAGAGGCGCGTGGAGTGCTGATTGCTCTCATCTTCAACAAGGCCATGAAGCTGTCCGGTCGAGCGAAAGCAGGTGGTCAAGCGACGGTAGAAGCACCGCCACCTGATATTAAACCGGGGAGTGAAGCCGAGATCAAGTGGTATAAGAAGATGATGGGTAAGAAGAAGAAGAAGAAGGAAAAGAAGGGAGGTACTGACGGCGTTGCTGGGGATGGTGAGGGATGGGGTAACGGCCGTATCGTTAATTTGATGTCTACAGACACCTACCGTATTGACCAGGCCAGTGGTTTCTTTCACATGATCTGGACTGCTCCACTTGGTATTCTGATTACAACGGCGCTGCTTCTCGTCAACTTGACCTACAGTGCATTACCTGGTCTTGCCATGATTTTCATCTCCATGCCATTGCTCGGACAGGCTGTCAAGAGTCTGTTCCGCCGCCGTGTAGCAATCAACAAAATTACTGATCAGCGCGTGAGCTTGACACAAGAAATTCTCCAGGGTGTTCGCTTTGTGAAATACTTTGGGTGGGAGACCAGTTTCCTCGAGCGTATTCAAAACATCAGAAAGAAGGAGATTCATGGTATCCAGGTTCTGCTCACCATTCGAAACGCCGTGCTCTCTGTAGGCATGTCCATGCCTGTCTTCGCCTCCATGGTCTCGTTCATCACGTACTCGCAAGTCAATAGCAACCTGGATCCCGCGCCAATCTTCTCCTCCCTCGCATTGTTCAACTCTATGCGCATCCCACTCAACTTTCTGCCCCTCGTTATCGGCCAGGTCATTGACGCAAACGCTTCCGTCAAACGTATCCAGGAGTTCCTGTTGGCAGAAGAAGCCGAGGAAAGTGGGACCTGGGATTTCGAAGCTAAGGAAGCGATTGTGCTCAAAGACGCAGATTTCACTTGGGAACGGCACCCTACACAGGATGCAGAGGACGGGGCAGGTGGTCTGGGGAAGAAACCGGCAACGAAACAAGAGAAAAAGGACAAGAAAATCGAACAAAAGCAGCAGGAGAAGAGCGAAAAAGAAGGGGTTAAGACGGAGTCAGACACGACTGCTGTCGAGGAGAAGCCATTCGAGATCAAGGGGCTGAACCTCACTTTCGGAAGAAAAGAGCTCACGGCGATCATTGGCAGTGTTGGCTCTGGAAAGACTTCGCTGCTCGCAGCGCTTGCCGGAGACATGCGCAAGACGAAAGGAGAGGTTGTCTTTGGTGCGTCGCGAGCATTCTGTCCACAGTACGCGTGGATCCAGAATGCCACTGTGCGCGAGAACATCGTCTTTGGCAAGGAATTCAAGAAGAAATGGTACGATCAGGTTGTCGACGCCTGCGCTCTCCGCCCCGACTTGGACATGTTGCCCCACCACGACGCGACGGAAATTGGCGAGCGTGGTATTACCGTCTCTGGCGGCCAGAAGCAGCGAATGAATATTGCACGAGCCATCTACTTTGATGCCGACATTGTACTCATGGACGATCCACTCAGCGCTGTTGACGCGCACGTCGGTCGTCATATCATGGACAATGCCATCTGCGGTCTCCTCAAAGACAAATGCCGTATCCTCGCCACCCACCAGCTTCATGTGTTGAGTCGGTGCGACAGGATCATTTGGATTGAAGAGGGTCATGTACAAGCTGTGGACACCTTTGATAACCTCATGTCGAGTAACCCAGACTTTGTGAACCTGATGAGCACCACTGCCACCGAGGAGGAAAAGGAGCAGATTGATGACAACAACGAAGGCGAGGGCGAAGCCAAAGTAAAAGACAGCAAGAAGCAAAAGAAGCAAAAGAAACAAGCGGCGCTCATGCAAGTCGAAGAGCGCGCAACAAAGAGCGTGTCCTGGAGCGTCTGGATCGAATATATCAAAGCTGGAGGCGGCATCTGGGTTGGCCCTCTCGTCTTCATCCTCCTCGTTCTCTCACAGGGCGCCAACATTGTCACTTCGCTCTGGCTCTCCTACTGGACATCCGACAAGTTCGGCTACAGTGAAGGCGCCTATATTGGAGCCTATGCCGGCTTTGGGTTCAGTCAGGCGCTGCTCATGTTCTTGTTCTCCTTCTCGATATCTATATTTGGTACAAAGGCTGGAAAGGTCATGCTGCATCGGGCCATTAGTCGAGTGCTCAGAGCACCCATGTCCTTTTTTGATACGACGCCGCTTGGGCGCATTACGAATCGGTTCAGCAAGGATATCGATGTCATGGATAACACATTGACCGATGCGATGCGCATGTACTTTCTTACGCTTGCCATGATCATCTCGTAAGTACATTTCCTCGCCTTGCTTACCCCCCAAGGCACGTACTGACACCAATGACAGGGTCTTCATCCTCATCATTGCCTATTACTACTACTACGCCATTGCTCTCGGCCCGCTCTTCCTCTTCTTCTTGTTCTCCGCTGCGTTCTACCGATCGTCTGCTCGCGAAGTTAAGCGTCATGAAGCTGTGCTTCGCAGTAATGTCTTTGCCAAATTCGGAGAGGCAGTCTCGGGTACTGCTACTATTCGTGCCTACGGTCTGCAAGAGCAGTTCTCCCAATCCGTGCGCGCGTCGGTAGACGAGATGAACAGCGCGTACTACCTCACCTTTGCCAATCAGCGATGGCTGAGTTTACGCCTCGACATTGTTGGCATATTCCTGGTCTTCACCACTGGTGTCTTGGTTGTTACGAGCCGTTTCTCTGTAGACCCTAGTATCGCTGGTCTGGTACTTGCCTATATTCTCACCATTGTACAGATGATCCAATTTACGGTGCGTCAATTGGCGGAAGTGGAAAACAACATGAACTCGACGGAACGCATCCACCACTACGGCACCCAGCTTGAAGAGGAAGCGCCTCTAAAACTAGGCGAAGTTCGCCCTACATGGCCCGAGCATGGTGAAATCATCTTTGACAAGGTTGAGATGCGGTACCGCGATGGCTTGCCACTTGTTCTCAAGGGCCTGAGCATGCACGTCCGTGCCGGTGAACGTATTGGCGTCGTGGGTCGCACCGGGGCCGGAAAATCGTCCATCATGTCCGCGCTGTTTAGACTACAAGAGCTCTCCGGCGGCGCCATCATCATCGACGGCATTGACATTAGTACCATTGGCCTGCATGACCTGCGCTCTAAACTGGCCATCATCCCGCAAGACCCCACCCTCTTCAGAGGCACCATCCGATCCAACCTTGACCCCTTCCACCAGCACTCCGACCTCGAGCTCTGGGGCGCCTTGCGCCAGGCCGATCTCGTGTCCAACGAGTCCACGCTCGAAGACCACTCTGGTCGCATCCACCTCGACAGTATAGTCGAGGAAGAAGGTCTTAATTTCTCGCTCGGCCAACGCCAACTGCTCGCGCTCTCTCGCGCGCTCGTCCGCGGCTCGCAGATCATTGTGTGCGACGAAGCAACGAGCAGTGTGGATTTCGAGACGGATGCCAAGATCCAAAGGACAATTGTGGATGGTTTCAAAGGCAAGACGTTGCTGTGTATTGCGCATCGCTTGAAGACGAGTACGTACACTGAATCATCTCCACTTTCTTTTTCTCCCCCTCTGTTCCGTTGATCGCTTCCCGTCTTTTCATCTTTCTTTCCCTTCTTATTCCCCCCCTAGTTATGCCATTCATGCATGCAATGGGCTGCGTGGCCCTCTTTTCCCTAGCTAACCCGCCACAAAAAAGACAGTCATCAACTACGACCGGATCTGCGTCATGGACGCCGGGCACATCGCCGAACTCGATACCCCACTCTCCCTCTACGACCAAGGCGGCATCTTCAGAAGCATGTGCGAGCGCTCTGGCATTCGCCGCGACGACTTTGTCGGTGCTACCGAGTAGGTGCTGTCTGTCGAGTAGGCTGATTTGCCTCTGAGAGGCTAATCTTTTGGTTTTTTCCTCAATTGGTGCGCCAAGGCGTGCTCGCCGGAGTGCAGTGCGGATGCTTGTTGTTGGTGGGGAAATGCAAAGCTCGGGTAGGGTGTAGGCATGCGCTAAGGATGGGGCGAAGATGGGGCGAGGAATGGTGGGGGAGGGGGAAAAGGTCAGGGTGCGCGTGTGGCGTGCATGGGCTGAGTGACGGAAGAATCCTGGTGTAGATTTCCCGGAGAGGGTGGGTGACTATGCGCTCGAGTCTTGTTGGATGGATAGATGGATGTATTGGTGTTGTTGTTGGTGTTGGTGCTGGAAATACCTGGCATGAGGATGAGTATAGATTTGGCAGTGGCGGTTTTTTTAAAAGCCGAGGATATGATTACAATGTCAAGTAAATGAGTAAGTATTACACACACGCGCGCCTTCCCAACAAGGGCAAAACATATGGTGTTTAGCAAATGTACAATATGCACATTGGGATGAAAAGAAAAGAAAGGAAAGCCGCAGCGTAGCGCAAAGATGTAAATTACAACATGCTAGGTATCTAGCTGGTGGAGAAATACAAGTATAGTCTCTCTCTCTCTCACACTCACACATAGACATGCATACATATGGAATCCATCTACTCCCCATCTACCCGCGTTGAATTTTTTTTATCATTCCATAAAAAGAAAAAATCCCCACGTGCTTGAGGAACGGGAAAGAAGCAATCTAGACCCTGCTTGAGGTTTGGCCGAGTGTAGCGGAGAACTGTGGCCTTGCACGTGGATGTCAGGGATGAGGTTGGGCTGGGGTGATTGTGATTGTGGTGGTGGGGTGTGAGGTGTGAGGATAAAGGGAGAAAAGGCTTGGGCAGGTACATGTGTACTTGTATGAGGTATACAGTCACACTTTTTTTTTTTTTTTTTTTAAAAAAAAGCGTCCAACAGCAAAGGAAGTTTTCTACTTTCATTGATTCATTCATTCTTCAAAATCTATCAGCGACAGGGTGCCCTAGAGATGGAATGATCAGGGCACAGGGTACAAAGTACAAGGGACAAGGGCTACCTATCTGGGTAGACTTCGGGGGAGAGGGGAGATGTGAGATGGTGAGATGTTAGTGCAGGAGGGCAAGGGGCGAAGGCTTTTGGTGTGTGCGGCCAAGGTCTACCTAGTCTAGTACATACTTGTACTGTACCATTGTAGGTACCATAGTAAGCCCGTGTCCGTGTTTGGTTTAGGGGGGTGAAGGGAGCGGGATGGAGGGAGGGGGGTTGGTGGGGCATTTTGTCGCATGATTTATTGTACAATATTGTACGATGGAGTCAAGAGTTATTGGGGATGGGGTGGTGTGGTATGGGTAGGGAGCAGGAGCAGGAGCAGGAGCAGGAGCAGGAGCAGGAGCAGGAGCAGGAGCAGGAGCAGGAGCAGGAGCAGGAGCAGTAACAGGAGCAGTAACAGTAGGGTAGCAGGATAAGGTACATGATTACGATTGGCATTACAATACCGTCATCGTCATCGTCATGAGCGTCCAACAAAGTATGTACTGTACATGGGCCATCTAGTAGAAACAGGCTCATCTCGACCCCTCAAAGGCCCGTGGGCAAGGCAAGTGTGGCGCGTGGGCGTTACTCTACTGTTAGCTGCATTGACAAGCACTAAGATCAGCCAAGGCTCTCGGCCAGCGTCTCCGCATTGGCAACCAGGTTGCAACTTACTCTACTACAAGCACTTGAGTGCAGACGGTTAGTGGTCACTGGTAGGTACAATAATACAATCAGTTTTTGTTGCAATGGCCCAAGCTCCTTGCAGTAACGTCTTTGCTTCATGCAAGAGCGGTGGATGGATGGATGAATGATTACGGGGGGGGGGGCCCTAGTGTGGCTAAGCCTAATGTGGCTGAGGCCGGGGTGGCCATGTTCCCAGGACTAGTCCACTTTGGGCTGGGCAGTAAGAGAGTTTCAGGGACGGGGTGGAGCTTCATGTTTGGCTGGCCGCTGGCGTGCAGCAGCGTCGAGCTTGTCGAGCTTAACCACTGCTTCACCTATGTGCACATGCAGTACTCTACTCTATATGCTCTACTAGTATTATGACCATTCCACGCTGGGGCTGATGCTAGGCACATGTACATGTTCATGTGTGTTGGAATGTGAATCAGGGCTGCTTGGGCAACCCTCACTCTCGTGTTCTCCCTTGCCATGCTTGCTCCCATCCACTAAACATACAACACACTCAGCACACAAACACACACCCAATACCTACAGAACCACAGAACAAGACCACCCCTCCTCTCCAACCATACTCCTCATGGCCAGTCCAAGCACAAGGGCGGGACCAGAAACAGCCTAGCGAGTAACGAGTAGGGCAATCTCCTGGCCTTAGCCTCGAGCAGCAGAAACTTAGTCCAGCTTTTGGCTTGCCTGCCAGCATCAACTCGCCTCCCTCTCGCCTCCTCGCCCGCCTCGCACCACCACACTGGGGCTGGCCTGCCCTGCTACACACTGCACACTGCACACTGCACACTGCACACTGCAAGCCCGTTCTGACCCGTGCTTTTCTCTTCACCTTTCTCATCATCCTGCCCTGCGTCTTTCCCTCCTTCCACCCAGCTTCTCTTCTCTCACTAGCAGCTGCTCCTCTCCCTCCCTCCCTCTCCACCACCCAACAACCCAGCCCAGTCCAGCTCTGTGCTGCTCTGTTGCCGTCTCTGCTCTTCTTCCATCGCACCTGCACAGTCCAGCTGTTGTTGCCCAGTCTTTTTTGCTGTCGCTCCTTCCCAACGTGTTCCCCCCTTTACCCCCTGCAACAACAACCGTTGTTCGAGCCCGGTCCTGGCCTGCCCCTTCCAAGCCGCGCGATAGCTCCCGCCCACCGTCCAAAAGTGCAAGGAGAGAGATAACCAAAGGCCATTCACTATCAGTCAGCTGAGATCCCGCACACCATCGCCCTTGTTCCAACCGTTGTGTTGTGCTTCCTCTTCTGCTCTGCCCTGCCCGCCCGTTTGCCCGTCTGTCTGCCTGCCCT